AAGCAGCTGTTTATTATCAAAATAACAGTTGTTTAACCACAGCTCACGTGTCCATGCACATCCCTCTCAGGCTTCCAGGAACAGGTGACTGTTCAGTGTGTGCTTTATGTACTGAAACTTTTACACACTTAAGCTGTGGATCATAAGTATATTCCAAAACTATGCATAGCTATTGTTCTTATGAAAGTTATACATTTTCTGTAAGAAACAGAAATAAAACACAGATATTTCTTCATTAGTTTGCCAAATACGTGTATATAAATACAGATACTGAATTTGATCCTAACTCTAGTTATTCGAAATATCAAAGAACTTTTACGTACTATTTAGCTTCTTAAATTTAACTCATTGCAGATTATTCTGATCTCACATTATCTTGAAACATAAAAATATATCTCATTTCTGGGACAATATCAACTAAACTTTAAAAAATACATTTTGTATTAGACTACAAAACAAACCACCATGCTGGTTTATTGTTCTCACTTATTGTAAGCCAGAAACACGCCTCCCTGTTCTATTCACACAGAGACTTATCATTCATCATTTTCCCGCCGTAACGTTACCTGTTCGTCAGATAAGAGTCTTACATCTAGCTTCGGGGCCTTGCAATATACTTCCAGCCTTCTACATTTTTGTCGAGCACGCTTGCTAAGTCGCCACTTTTGGCGTATAGTAAGGTGTATGTGCGTGCGTCCGTCCGTCAGTCAGTCCGTCCGTCCGGCGTCAATATAGTGTTCATTCTTTGCAGGAAAAAACAATAATGTGGTACTTATGTTCACCATGATGAGGTGATGTGTCGCACACAAAACCCACGTCCACCTCTCAGAAGTCAAGGTCACACTTAGGGGTCAGCGCAAAGCCCGTTTCCGGAGCGTAACTTCCACATGCATGGTGGGATTTTATTTTAACTCGGTAAAAATGTTCTTCATAGTGAGGCGGAGTATGCGCGAAGAATTCAGGTGTCTGTGACAAAGGTCAATGTCACATTTAGGGGTCAAAGGTCAAATAACCAAATAAAACATTCATTTTCGAGTATAACTTATACATATAGCGATTGGTTTTAATATAACTTAGCACATATTTTCTCCATATTGAGATGAGTTGTCCCGAGCCAAATAAAGGTCAAGGTCACAAGAGGTCAAAGGTCAAATAAAAACAGTAAGATTTCTTTGTAGGCGTTGTATCTTGATAATTCTTATAAGGATTACAAAATAGTTTAGTACAAAGGTTCTCTTTAAGTTCGCAGTTCAAAGGTCAAGGTAACACTTGGGGGTTATCAAAAAAACGTTTTCGGAATGTACTTTTCACATGCATGGAGGGATTTTAAAGTAATTCGCAACAAATGTTCTCCATGGTGAGGCCAAGTGGTGCGGGGAAAAAATCAGGTGTGTGTGGTAAAGGTCATGGTAACACTTACTGGTCAATTGTCAAATAACCAAATAAAACATTCATTTTCAAGTATAACTTCTGTATGCAGGGATTGGTTTTAATATAACTAATCACCAATGTTTTCAGTGTTGAGTTGGGTGGTCTCTCACAAAATGAAGGTCAATGTCACATAAGGTCAAAGGTCAAATAAAAATAGTAAAATTTGTCTGTTGGCCATGGATCTTGCTCATTCTTTGAAGGATTACAAAATAAGTTGGTACTAATGTTCACCATGATAGGGCGGTGTGTCGCACACAAAACCCAGGTCCGCCGCTCAAAGGTCAAGGTCACTCTTGGGGTCAGCGCAAAATCTGTATCGAGAGTGTAACGTCCTCATGCATAAAGGGCTTTTAGCATAACTCGGGACAAATGCTTCAGATAGTGAGGTGGAGTATCGCGCGAAAATTTCAGGTGTCTATGTTAAAGGTAAAGGTCACATCTAGGTGTCAAAGGTTAAATAATAATAACTCATTCATTTGCTTATATCACTTCTATAATTGATGGATTTTACTATAACTTAGCCCAAATTATCTCCTTGTTGAGTTGAGTTGAGTTGAGTTGTCTCTCGCAAAATTTAGGTCAAGTTTTCAAGATATCAAAGGTCAAATAAAAATATTATAATTTGTTTTAGGCGCTGTATCTTACTTATGCTTAATGGTCAGATAATTTTTAAATTGTTTAACCCGCTTGTGGTGATGTCGACTTAGTCGCCACTTTTCATTTTTGGCGCTTTTATGTATGTACGTTTTTTGCCGTGCGTTTTTCTTTGATTTTTTCCCGGTCTATTTTTGTCATTTTTTTAAAGGAAATTTAAAAAGGGTTTTTATACAAAAAGTTCAACATGAGCCGGGGGGGTGGGGGTCCACGCAAAAAACCGGGGCTGCCCTTTATTTGGGGGGTATTTCCCCAAAACCCCTATCTTTTAGCGAAAAATTTTTACACGGGTGGGGGGGATTTAAAAAATAACTGGGCCAAAAAGTTCTCCATAGTGAGGGCCCAAATGACGTAGAAAAAATTCAGGTGTATTTTGGGAAAAAAATCAGTGTCTTTTCTTCAGGGTCAAAGGTCAAAAAAGGCGCTATTCCATTTTGTAGTGATCCGTGACCTGCGTCAGGATCCGTGCCGGGGATGTCCGTGGTATTATTCCATAAAGGGACGTTTTTTTTATATTTTAATTTAAAATATAGCGAACAGAGGATAATTATTTGTAGAATA